TCTTTTCACAACTGTCCATCTCTTTCTGCCAAACTGGTCAATATTATGTTGCTGATGACAAGCCCAGAAAAGCCACTGGAAACATGGACGATTGGATGTCAGTGAAGATAAAATTCTAAAGAAACATGTTTGGCAAGCTGATGTAGCTTAGACACTAATTGGTCATCCAGGCCAGTTTGTCACAGTCTGGATGGCTGTTGACTTGGACTTCATCGAGTTCACCTTATTGCAGCTTTCACCTAAAAGCTCCCTGGCTGAAGAAATGTGATTATTAAGTTTTAAGGACAGTCAATGCCATTTTTCTGTGGATATACAGCAGAAAAAACAGCAATGACAAAAATTAATTGGTTAGTGGGCGTCCAGAGCAGAAATCATGTTGAAATTGCATGCAGTAGGCAGTGATATTATTTCTGAGTAAGAGCCCTAACTACAGATCCCTGTATTAATAATGCAAGAGGACCCCAGGGGGCAGCCATCTCTCCACACAACACTACACCCTCAAACATAATATGCATGCATACACAAGTTGTAGCTTCATGCTGTTATGTCATTTGTTTCCAGATAGTTTTGTGGCTTTTTGTTTGCAAATATACTCATTAGTTCCTTCTGTTTTCAAAGACAGTAATTGGTAAATTGATTTTTTTTCTTTTTTTTGTTTTTGTAGTTTGTAAGAGAACAAAGAGAAATTACAGACATAGAAATAAAATGTTTACTATAGATAGTTTTAAAAAGTAAACTTGAGCATCTAGCACATATGTTAAGTCTACACATTAGAAGACGAACATACAAGGTGCCTTTGCACATCTTATCTAAGAATATAGTCACTTGTGGGGTTTTAGACTAGGTAACATTGCATGCTGTATGAATAAAGGCATTCAGGTCAATTCAATTTTAGCTCATGAAAATCAAATTCCCATCGTGAAGAATGAAACGGTTAGACGTGGGGAAAAAAACTAAGAATATTCATAAATCAGTTCCTAGTGTCAGGGCATAGGTTTTAAAACATTTTATTTTGGGAATGCTAATGATTTTCTTGATGCTATCCCTACAGTTTAAAGTATTTGTAGTGAAAATGCTGGAATTATTGAAGTTTAACATTGTTTATGCTGTAAAGAGCATAAAGCAGTACAGTGTTGACCCTGCCCCACTTTTCTCTGTATACCACCCACAATTGTCCCCTGCTAATAAGAAGGGCAAACTGTGCTGTTTAGAAAAAAAACAAAAAACAATCATAATAGGGAAACTGAAGGAGCATCCGCTAAAGCTCTGGTAAATGTAAAAGTTAGCGAGCGAAGAGTGGAATATTTAATACAATATGGCATCTATGCTGACAAATGAACCTGTTTCTAATTCTATGTGATTGTGTGTGTGAGGGGGGAGCCTGCCAGAACAGACTGAAGACAAACATAGATATATGTATGTTCTTTTTTGTTTATTTAATGGAACATGTATAAACAGGAAATAGTGGGAGAACCCTGCAATTAGTAAACTTACCTCCATATGATTACCGGAACAGGTGAGATTAATTAGTGGAATATGGAAGCGCTGAATGAAGGATCTAGGGGAGAAAACAAGGAATATATGAATAATAATTTGAGTGTACACAGCTAATTACCAAAATATGAACAAAAATGGTGCCAAGAGTAACAATGCCACTCAGGAGCAAGTGTTATATATTTCACAGCATAGAAAACAATATAGATTATTTAAGAAATGGATTAATTGCTACATATGATTGAGTTAAACTATTCAAATGAATTATATCACCTAAGCAGCTCTAAGAATAATTGTTACTTTTCATCCTTAAAGTTATTAGATTATGTAAATGCCTTTTTACTCTACCATAATATTTGTTTTAGGCTCTTATATAGTGTGCATTTCATTAAGATGACTAGCAGACCTAAATTAGGATAAAACTTTCTTTGTTTTTCCCATTTTAACTTTTAATATGTTTTCTGCCTGCATCTCATTTTCCATCCCACAAATGTGAAGGTTAACTTATAGAAATCTGTATATGCAGAGTTTTATTTCATGGTTGCTTTGTGTAAAGTGTACCAATCTGAAATAATTATCTGGGTGGGAGCGATGGTGAACCATGACAGTGAATTCCCACGCAGCGTAAATTCTCACTTAGTTCAAAACAATTATGATAAATGCAGCTTCAACTCAGGTGCTGCAGCAGCCTGCAAATCACTGCTTAGTTAGGTGCACTTAGGAAATGTGGGTTTATGAGGAAATGTAAGACTGTTCTCTTACAGTTTTTTTTAAATTTAATTTCATTCTTACTTATTACCTTGCTGTATATCTCTACCTTGAATCAACTTTACTCCTTTTTTTTACTAAAACAACACATCTGTTACTATGCGAACATTAGATGATGTTGATGCCTATTTTGTAGCTTATTTTTCTTTTATTGTGTTATTGATAGTACAGTTATAGGTTCTTTATTAATACTGTTAATACTTTATATAATAGACACAAGCTTCAAGTATTTTGCTTTCTCTTTTTTGGATTTATTTTCTTTAAACCATATTTCATCACAATTAAATATTTGTAGGTGGTAGCCCCTAGCTTTTCTTTATTTTTTCAGAGGACAACCTTCTTCAGCTGCACATATACAACATATTTTGATGTTTTAGATGTTTTAACTTCATGGATAAAAGGTTCTCAAACTTCCTAGGGGGGTATTTTACATTTATCTCATGAGGCGTTACCAAGGCTCTTTTTTTATGCATTTATTGTATCCGCCTATCTTCAGAGTGTATCCCTGGGAACTAAAAAATAACAAACAAAGAACAGATATGCCCTAGAGCTGTTATTGTTAAACCATATATCTTGTTGTAGTGGCAAGTTCAGCAAAGTTAATGATACTACGCCTTGCAAGTGTACATCTAAAAACGATGTCTCAGCCGCTGCTGGCATTGTTTTGACAATTTGATGTCATTCCTCTTTTTTTTTTTCATTTCTTTTCCACTCTTTGTGACATAAAGAGACCATCGTAAAAACTAAAAAAAATATTACAGATATATTATTTTGAGGGTAGAATCTTTCTGCATTGTTGATGAATAGACACATACAGTATCAAATCTTTAGTTTACTTTGTGTCACTAATTTTACTGACTAATTTGCTTGTCATTTTTATTTAGGACGAAATTGGCATATTTCTTAACATGGCTGAAAGATGAAAACGGAATGACGACTTTCAAAACTATCTGAGTAACAAAAGAAATTTGATTTAACATTCATTAAATCAAATTTCATTATTTCAGTGTTTAACCAAAGGCTTTGAAGAGAGTATTGT